TAACTTTGACGCTACAACTTGGTGGCATTAGGCAAAGGGAACATGGTATGGTGTTAAAGTGTATGTGATCTGAATTTTATTAATTTGTTTTTATGTAGGGTATGATTGCTGGTCATTCTTATTATTATCTTGAAGACGTTTACCCGCGGATGACTGGTCGTCGCCCACTGAAGACCCCTGCCTTTATCAAGTCACTGTTTGCTGATGAGAATTTAGTTGTCACACCGCAGGCAAATGCAAGATTTGCACCTCCAGCACCGCAGGACCTTCACCAAGATTGATAGTGTCATCAAGAGATGGAGATTTGAGATGGTCTTTGCTGAAATATGATGTGTCCGAGACATTGTAGTGATGAGCATTAAGAGTTTCAGATATATATAGGATCTTCACAATTGAGATCTGATAACAAAGCAGTTCCTCTTGTAAAAGGCTATTTGATGCCCAGTTGTGCATATCAAAATGAAAACATGACATTGTTTTATTTCTAATGTAAATGCTGTGTACCCTTCCCGTGACTAATTAATATCTGACAGGATTTGATGAAGCCTAAATATCCCCAGTGCGCAGACAATCCGTCCTTGATGAGAACTTATGTTCTCTGTGACTAAATGTGTGACAGGATTCAATGAAGCCTAAAAATCACCAATGAGCGGACAATCTGTATTTGATGAGAACTTGTATTTGTTTATCTGATATTGTGATAAAAGCACATCTCATTTTATGTAGAACTTACTTGAGTTAGGTTGCTAGGGGTTATCATATCTACTATATATACGTATTTACTTGCCAATCGTTGATTTGGATATGAATATGAATACGCCTCAGTAAGGACAATGTATAACTGTATTTACTAAAATTGGATGCATAAATGGGTATACGTCCAGGCGTAGAAGTGGATATATGTGGGTGTGTGTTTGTTATGTCTAAAATGTTATGAGACAAGGGAGGGTCTAAAATGTTATGAGACAAGGAAGGTTTGCAGCTAGGATTTGCCACGGAAGGGGCCTGTGTCGGCTTCTGGCTGTGGCAGTGATGAGCTAAGGTCGTTAGAAGTGCAAGGCTCTTGTGTCGGGTTCTGTTCTTCGCAGTGCAACTAGGGTTTGCTAGGGTAGGGGAATCGGTATGGGCTCGTATCGGGTGGTGGTTGCAGCCGTGATGAGTTAGGGTCGTCAGCAGTGCTTGGGAGTGCAGAGGTGGGGTAAATGGGCAGTCCGCGAGGTAGGTCAGAAGCTTGGTCAGGGTTGTGGTGCAGGATGCTGTGGCGTTGGGGGACGTACAAACAAACTGTATTTACATCTCAATTTCTTGAGCTAAGTATGGGTAAATTTATTGAATAGAGAACACCATAATTTTAGTTATTTCCAATGTCTCAACTATATTTGTAGATGTATGGAAGTGACAATATGTCGATAGTCAAAACTTTTCCAAAGCATTTCAATTTAAAAGAACAGATATCAAGAATACCCGAGACAAGAACTATTGCCACAAATCTAGCTTGTATTAGTAGATAGTGGAAACACTTTTTGATTCGTAATGGAAGTAACACTTTATACTCTAGAAATAAACGAATTAACCCGTTGCATATTTTATGAATGCGTTCATCTTGAAAGACTGTATTAGCTCGTAGTACTGCCAGTTATAATTTAGCACGGGACAAGTGATAAATGGTTGAATCTAATGATGTCAAAAAATTTCACAAATCTGTCTTGAACTTTCGAAAATCATGTCCTGAATTCTTTACACTTTAAAGATGGAAAAGAAAACGGACCAAAAAACATAAGAGAGAGTTCTTTTTAGGCTTTTACTGAGATAAGATCAGGGGGGTTACTACTCAGATTCAGTGAGATATTATCTAATTTCGAAGTTCATAGGGTTCTTGTTAATCTCAACTTAAAGCTTAGGGAGCTTTCTGGAAATTCACCGTACAAAAAAACATAAGCATGTGTACAAACTTTTATTTCCCGATTATTATTATCATCATCTATACTATCATGCAAAAAACCAGCTAAAATATGAACGAGGACTGAACACGTAATTAACCCTTCTGATTCTAATTGAAAGGGTAAATATGTAATTATTACAGGTAATGACTCTTTCTCTTTTCTCTTCTCTTTCTTGCTTCTAGAGCATTCTACACCATCTGGATGCGGATCTGTATATTGTCGGATTTGAGATACAAGCCTAGAGGGGATTGAATAGGATTGCCTACTGTTTTTTTGCTTAAACATAGAATATGCAGTGGAATACAGCACATAAAAATGATAAACGATATTAGTCAAAACAAATACCGCAAACGTAACCAAAGGAGGAATACACAAGATTTTATAGTGGTTTGGATTAATAATCGTGAGTCCACTCTTCCTTCTAGCAAAGAGGCTTTCTCATTATGAAAGAGTTCACCTAAACCACAAACCTGATTCAGTAAGGTTAGGGGACCACACACTGTTATTTTTTCGAAATCAGTCATATAACCTAACTCTCACAATGAGCAACTCCAAGCTCTAGCTAGTCCTAACCCTCAATTCAACTGACTTGAGTACGTCATAAAAGAAGTTCAATTAAATACAAACTCAAATATCAAATAAGTTCAAAATTGTAATAATCTTACAACCCTTTCAATAAAGCAACCCGTCATTCGAAAGATATAAGCAAGGCTGATGAATAACGGAGATTAAAATCAAACCAAGAGAAATTCTTCTGCTGTGGAATGATCAGATGATGTTGTGCGTGGTGAGTAAGAGATTGACGAGGCTCTGAGGGATCGAAAAGTACTTTTTGATTGCCAAAATCAAGACCGTAGAGCCCCCTTCCTTTTCTCTCGCAATTAGGTCAGTAAAGAACTCTCTAAAACATTGGAGAGGATGAAGATTATATGAGCAACAAAAAGTTGAGATTAAGTCATCAAAATCTCAATTAGCCAAACTTATAATTTATGTTTGCCCCCGAACATCGATGGTGTTGAGCAATCATTGATTGTTGATAAGCAACATAGATGATTTGAATGTCTTTGGACATGTGGAACACTGATGGACCTTTAGAACCATCGATGGTCTCCAAGCACCATTGATGGTCAAAGGCTACCAACGATGACCAAAGCGCTAAAAACAACTTGTGAGCTGATCTCCGCGTTGTTTTGCCTCGTTCATGTTCTATACCTGTATTTACCTATACTAAATCATCTACAACCAATATTAGCACCAAATGATGTTTGATATTACTTAATAGGAGATAATGCAAATGCAAACGATCTAACATATATTTCACGATATATTAGTATTTGTAACCATATCTTGTCAAATATAGATGTTAATAGATATGGATGTGAACGTGGGTTTTTGAACGAGTAAGGAGATTTTGCATGAACGGTTTTTTTTTAACGTGGGGGCCACCATGGACAGGAGATGCATTAGCAGCATGCAGGTACAGCCCACGTAATTCCGCTCTCTCCTATAAGTACTCGTGCCTAGGGTTTTAAACCAGTGTGCAAAAGAGGGTTCGTGAGCAAAGGGTGAAAAAGCGGCGTGCAAGAGCAGGGTGCAGGCGGAGGAAAAGAAAAATCGCAGGGGTTTTCTTGAGCTGCGTGCAATAGGAAAAACAGAGGCTCTTTTGGCTGTTTTGTGAGAGATTTGAGAGTTAGTTTGAGGGTTTAATTTGTGTGGCTCTTTTGGCTGTTTTGTGAGAGATTTGAGAGTTAGTTTGAGGGTTTAATTTGTGTGATTGTAAACCCATTTGTATTCTCTTGGGTTTAATTTGTGTGATTGTAAACCCATTTGTATTCTCTTTCTCTAATAGTAGATCTCCCCCCTCCTTGCCCCGTGGACGTAGGCAACTTACCGAACCACGTTAAAATTGAGTGTTCGTGCTGTGATTTGTAATAGAGAGTTTAGGTTCCCTCGATAGGTCAGTCCTAGAACTGATGAGAGGAAGAGCTGATATCCCACTTTGTTGAGATATTTTTCTTTCGGTTCTTGTTTCCTTTGTGAAACAGGGATTTAGTTGAGATCTACTCTTTTGTCGAGCATCAGAGGTGCTGCCGAAATTTTCATTGCTCACAACAACGGATACCTATATTTCCTCTGATATAAATATGTTTGCGCCTCTTCCATATAAGTCATTACTCAAGTTTACATTTGATTTATATAATTACTTCTTATCAGAATAATTAAAGTTATTGACACTAGAAGTTGGATGTGTGCATTTTATAAAGATTCAGTTTCACTATAAGGGTTTTGCAACAGGGAAGTAAATAGAAAGTAAAAAAAGGTCAAGAATGTACTTTTTCTTAACTTTAAATTAAAAATCTTGTTAGGATGATATTTGAGTTGGCAGCTATGTGTCATCCACTTTCTTTGTATGTATTGTTTGGTTTATTAGAAAGTAAATAGTGAAAAGTAGACTTTTTGGTGAGTGAAACATGCAATTTCGTCATATATTTTAGTTTTGAAAACTTAAAGGACATCTAGTTGTATTTCTAAGGCCAATCTTCATCCTTGTTAATCACTTATTTCCATATAATTGCACATTAAAATATATAATTATTTTATAACCAGTTCATGTGAATATATAGGCAGAACATTTTTTATATGGTTAAACTATTCTTTTACCTCTCATTTATAACATGGCAAAGTGATGCTAATTTCTAGCTTTGGGACCATTAGTAGGGTAGAAAGAACCAAATAATATTATTTGACTAACTATTCAGTCATATTCGATCATGTAGTTCATTTAACACTAAATAATATTAGTATTCGAGTTTATTAACGAACATAATTTAACCAGTAGTATATTCAGTTCATTTGCTTATGAAATATTCATTTAAAATTTGATCGCTTATAATTAGTATCATTACACATATGATTTTATATTTTCAACCTACTTATATTTACTACTTAAATTGTATATAATAAATTTGAGAAATTTAAAGAATCTTAAATCAATTTCTAATAAATATTCATGAATAATCATCAAATACTGAGTATTCGAGTTTGATTTGAAAAACTACAGACATAGATATTTGAATTCAAGTTCGAATTTGAACAAATACAAATATGAACATCTCAGTATTCTATTCGATTCGTTCGTTTACCATCCCTAACCATTAGTCCACTTATTGCTTTAGAGAACAACATATTATTGAATATGACACTTGAAAGTTTCATTCAAATTGTAATTAAAAAGCTTGTTGTCCAATACAAATTCACCATGTTACTAATAAGCAAGTTTCCGCTCTAAATTATCAGCGAATAATATTTCGCAAGGTTGTCTCGTGCAGGTTGTTTGATTGAAGAAATACCAAGTATGACAGATCAAATACTAAAAAAAGGAAAAAAAAAGTTTTGAAAACCAAAGAGAATTAAAAAAACTAAAAACTAATTTCTCTCTCTTCTCTCTCTCCACTTTCTTAAACCATTTCTTTAGGAAAGTGAAAGAGGGTAAATAGTTGACGTGGCATGTTTTACTTGTCATTTACTTTCTACACACTTTCTAAGTGCCAAACCAGAAAAAAAATTGAAAGTGAAGTCATTTTTAATTTTTAGTTCACTTTCCATTT